GTGTGTGTGTGTGTGTGTGTGTGTGCGTGCGCAACAATGAGTTCGTATGTGCTATTCAAAACGCCCCCTTTACTCTGCTTATAAAGCTTTTCAAGCGTTACCTCCCTTGGTCACAGGGCTCGGTCAAATCAAAGCCATGCCGCCTCTCTCGGCGCTCTCCTGCTCTCCACGCCAGGCCGTGGCCTTCCTCAGCACTTCGAGTCTCGTCCTGTTTCGTTCGACGGTTGAGGAACTTGTTTGGACCCCTTTTTGTTCTCTCTCTCGCTCTCTCTCTCTCGATCTCGATATACTGTATGAGCCACAGCACGCGCTTGCTTAAGCTGTATCCCAGTTGGATGTTTTGGCAATATGAACACTGAAATCTGACCGGTGGGGGAGTGCGGCGAGGCGAACGAACGGTGGGTCGTGCTGTTGGTGTCTCTGCTCTAAGACGGACAGATGGCATGTACAAACTGTTGCCTTTTGTTTTCCGACGCTCTCCTGCACTCAAGGCTGCCAAAAGCTTTCTCAGACGCATGATGTGCACCAAATGAGTCGTCGTCCCCCTTCTCTCTGTGAGCGTTGTTCATTTGGGCTTTAGTTCTGTGAATCCCCCCTCAGCCCTCGTTACTTTTTATAGTTCCCAGTTTGTTCCTCACTGTTGATGCCTTGGATGTTTTGATGCTTTTTATCTTGAAATGACAATCAATTTTACACTGTTGTTGTTGCTTCTTTTTTTTATTTTATATATATATATATATATATATATATATATATATACACACACACATACACACACACAGGTAAATGTTACTTTTACTGCCTGTGTCATTATATATGGTTATTGTTGTTTTTGTGGATATTCTTGTTGATGATTATTGTTATTATTATTATTATTATATCATCCTGGTTTGGGCTGCAATTTAATTGAGCGCTTTTCCCTATTTTTCTTTCTTTCTTTCTTATTATTTAAACAAAAAGAATGCTACTTGCTGCCTGTTTATAACTGTGACATTTTTTTTCTTGGGACGCCAGAAATGAAGAACAGGCAGAAATGTATGTGCAATAGAACAATTTGACCCCCTGTTACCAGTGTCCAAAGCCCCCCCCCACCCCCCCCATGCTTACGACTGGCTTCTCTGGATGCCTTGTTGTCAGCCCTGTAACCGATAGGAGGTTCTGACTCAGACTGTTGAAAACCGCAGGTCTCTATAGATACAACAAACGGCACAAACAAATTCAAGGCACGTTTTGGAAACGGATATCATGCGGGCGACGTGCTTACTACCCTGAGATTTTAGCGAGAGTAAATCATTTGCTGAGAGAGGCAGAAGCATGCTCTACCGTAAACCAAACTTAACCCAGATTTTGCAGGTTTTAACAGATTTTGAATGCCGACATAAGACGGGATATTTCATTTTCTTTTTAGAACCATATATCAAATGTCACTAAATGATTAACCGACATCGACAAACGGGCATTAAGAGAAACTGAAGCATTCTTTGTAAACCCAGCTTAACCTAGATTTCTAATGTTTTAACAGATTTTTAAGATATTTCCTTTTTTAGAACAAGATATCAACATCTTTGATATATGCTTCTTCTTTTTTCTCACTTTTCCACGGACTTTTAAAAATTCAGTAAATGATTTGTCCTCGGCAAACATGCTTTAAGAGAGGAAGAATCATTCTTTTTCTGCAAATCAAATTGTGCAGGTTTTTTTTTTACAGGGGATTGTGAGTGCTGTCATGAGACTTATACATTCACGCTAAAATCCCAGTTTGCTGATTTTTGTTTGACTCTTAAATTGAAAAATGTTACGCCAGAAAGTATTGGAGGCTGGATTCTGTCTTGTGTCTCAAACTGTGTTGAAGTCGTTGTGACACCGACACGCTCTGTTGAAACCTCCACTATGTGGGTCAGCAGTTTACTGAAGGACAGCGTGACTTAGCACACAAACTGAAAACAAACAAAGTGCAAATATAGTAAACATTTAAATGCAGTTAGTGGTTTGGAAAGAATTCACAACATCTGCGGTGGACAAACCGCCTGGCTGTAAATATCGTATGGTTGACTTCTGTTTACCTTGCTGATGGGACAGATTTTAAATATGGAAAATACATGTTTTGATCCGTCTGTCTCTACGTGTCTCTATGTTAAGCCCTTCGGCCCGGAGCCAGCTTCTGTCTCCAGAGCAACAAATGTGTTAAAGGGATATTTTCCTTTAAAGGACAAACCACAGTGAGGAGGTTGTGTCGTCGGCGGCGGCGGGGGGCGGGGGGCAGCAGCGGACAGCTCCAATTACCAGTTACTCCACAAGTTAAACCGGGGTGTGTGTGTGTGTGTGTGTGTGTGTGTGTGTGTGTGTGTGTGAGAGAGTGAGAGTGAGAGAGAGAGAGAGAGAGGTCAAAAACTGTACGCCAGTCAATTGAGAAAAAAAAGGTTTTGCAGACTGTCCACGTTTAGTATGTTAATTTATATTTCCTTTTTATTTGGGCTTGTCTTGAGGTTCTCACGGGGGGGAGTTGTCGACACGAAAAAGGTTTTTCAAGCTGTTTTTAAACAAAAAAAGAAGCAGAATTATGGATGAAATGGAGGCTGTCGACATAAACGCACAGCTGTAAACTTTCCTCATTTCATCCAGTTGGTGAAGGGAATTTAATGACACAAAATGTTTATTTAGCTAAAAATTAGAAAAGAATTATATATGAATGAAATTCTATGTTTGCATACTTTCTATGCTATTTTCATATATGGGGTTCACACTAATGAGGAACAATGGAAAGGAATCTCAAGTGCTTTTTACTACAGCGTAACTTATTTGTTTCGATTTGATTTTTACCACCTGTGTTTTTAGTAATGATTTACAAAGCACTGTATATTAAAGTTTTAAAATATTCATGAAGCTTGCGAGTGTGTTTTTCATTTCTTTACATGATGTAATATAGCAAGAGAAGAAGCTGCACAAGGGGTTGCATATTGTTGCAGCAGGTCGAGCACTCCAGTACCTGCAAATAGTAGAGGAGGGCGCCGTTGTAACAGCAGCCGAGAGCCACGCCGTGCTGCTGTTTGTTTGGTGGGGCCCTTTGGTTGTCATGCAGTGGTTTGATGGCTTAAAGGTGTGGAGTAAAAGGTATGTATGCAGCTCATGACCACAAGATCGTCTCAGATGGCTCTGCTATCTGCACAACGTACAGAAAGTCACCTTGTTACAGAACTTGTTTCCTACTGTCATTTTAAATTCACAAAATTAATTTCTGGTTGTAGATGTGTTGCTAAGGCCACGCAACTGTTTCATTGCATTTCATTGACTTTATTTATGAGAATACCTCAAAACATTTCTGTTCCTGTGGCAGTGGGACAGCATGCTCATTTTCTTTCTTTGCAGTATCACCACCATGCAAGTCTTTAAGGCTGTTCTAAGCAATAGTTTATCTTAAAATACTCCCGTTATATCGGTTTAAATACGGTATGGAAGAGAGAACCCGGTAAAGACCTTATACATTTTGCCCAAAAGAATATCTGGCATTCGAAACAAATAGAGTTGGGGCAATCGTTCTATATATCAAGTTATCATTAAACTACATTCTGTTTTCTTCACCATATTTTTGTATACCCCAGTGTGTTTTTACCTCGTCGATGAAGCAGCTACAGTGTAGAAAATGTTAAATACCTGTCATGTCAGTGTGTGTATATGACTGACTGTGAGAGATCACTGTAGCTCAGTAGCATCTGACTGGAGATAAAATGAGGGGAACTGCCAACTCCCACCAGCAGCAGGGCAATCTGGGAAAGGCAAACAAGAACAGCATGCGGCTCCGATGTGTCCTCGCCTTTACTCTTTTTGCTTCTTCCAAACCGTGGGAGGAGGAGGAGGAGGAGGAAGGTAGGAGGAATAGGAGGGATGGGAGTTGAGGAAGGGAGGAGAGGATTGGAGGAGACGAGTGCAAGAACACAATTGTATCTGACTATCGTACAGTTGGAGAAAATTAGAGATCAAAGCGAGGTCTCGCAGGATTTCAATGGAAATCACAAAATTGCATGAAAGCATGAGTTTGAAAAACTTCATTCATCTTTTCCATTTAGAAACACACTTCTGAGGAAATTCCTCCAGCTTAATGATAACTTACACTTGCGATGGTTTTGCTGAGCATCCGTCACTCGGACACACGGCGAAGACCGCAGGTTATTTATCACAGACGTGGTAAACTTACACTGTCAACAAATCCCTCTGGGCTCTCACAACATGTGTCGAGAGGAAACCCGGTGATCCTGGCCAGGTGCTGTGAGAACAAGTGTGTGTGTGTGTGTGTGTGTGTGTGGGAGGTAGAGAGAGGAAGTGACCCATTCACACATGCAAGAACACTCATCAACCTGTCATTATGCTCAACCTCGATACTGTATATAAGCCTGGACATCAGATCTGAGACCAACAGGAGGTGTGATATGAGGGCTCTCAAGATCCTGCCAAGTCCAAGAGGTGGTTTCTACCACAAAGCAGTTCAGGCTAGAAAATAGTGAACAGCTATTACAATATTCCAGACCCAGAGGTTTTTGTTTTGTCCGGAAAATAGTCATAAAACTGAAAGGTATTCAATTAAAAATGATATGAAATCGAGAAAAATAAGCATTTTTAGCTGAACTATCAAAGTGACTCTGATCCACCACTTTGATAGACTGAAATTAGATGGCAATTAGATTTGATACACATATTCGTATTCATTTGGATTCATTATAACTCTGGTGCTGACTTAATTTTACATTTTATGTGTAGCGCCACTTTCCGCTCAAATTTTTCCAATACTTTGATTAAGTAACAAAATACCAGCATTAGCAAATGTTAGCATGCTAACAAGGTAAACTAAGATAGTGCACGTGGTACATATTTTACCCGCACAGCATCTGCATGCTAACATTGTTATTGTGATGCTGGTGGTAGCGTTTAGCTCAAAGCACCACGCCACGGTGCCTCAGTACAGCCTCACAGAGACACTATAGCAAGTCTGTAGACTCTTCAAGGTTTCTGTTCATCCTCCAATCACTTCAGTGCTGGTTTTAACTAAAAAAAAATAATGTACTTATATACGTTAATCATAGACACAGGGAGAAGAGGGTGCAAAGTATCACATCAGACAAATTTTCATGTTTAATTGCACTATAATAGGGAGTTATTAAATGTCCTTGTGTTGTTGAAGCTGCTGGAAGCATTTGAGGAGAAGGGAGTTTACCAGACTGTTACCCTTTAAGGGCATGATTGATTCACCAAGATCATTTTCGGAGATCCAGGCCCAGGCTCAGAGGCCTGGCTGCCTCATTATCTACCCCAGCGCAGAGGCTTGGAGTCACAGGTGAATACAAATGCTTATGGCAGCAGCTCTTCCTTTTTTTTTTTTCTGCTCACACACTGGATCCTTATTAGCAATTACAGCACCAGAGGGCCTAGTTATACGCATGTGCTGAGATGCGGCGCTGCAGTGGAAACAGATGCATCCAGCAGCACTAATCAACTGCAGCCCAGTAATGGCAAATGAGATAGGATGGAAGGAAGGAGGAAAGGAAGGATAAGAAGGAAGGAATGATAGGGGGAGGGATTGCGAACAGAGGGAGTATCTGAGACAGCCACGCATATTCAACCAGAGCAATGAGGACCAGATTCTGCTCAGTAACCACCACAAGGCCTGGCTGGTCATCTGCAACGGATGAAGCTCTTCTCTGGAGGCTCTGGATCGATGCGTTCGGCCAGACTCCAACAGGACTGAACCCACTCCTCGAGTTCACATTTCTCAAGGCAAGAGGTTGTACGGGTGCCTGTTTAACCAAATTCACACGCTGCATTTTATTTGGCCAGCGCGAGGCCAGTGATGATGACAGAAGGGTGGTGGCTGATTATGAGACAATAGGCCCCTAGAAACATACATGCAAAAGGCCCCACCATCTCTCCTAGGAGCAAAACACAGATTCAATCTTTAATGTTTTGTGTCACTTTGTGTGTAACTCTATATTGTTTTGGGTTTTTTTTCTATGTCTTTGTAGTTGTTTTAAGTCTCTTTATGGTAATTTTGTTTCTCTTTAGTATTTTGGAGTAACTTTGTAGTCACTCTGTGTCTCATTCTGGTTATTTTGGGTCTGTTTCTGGTCATTTTGTGTCTCTGTAGTCATTATAGAGTCTCTTTGTAGTCATTTTGTGTCTCATTCTGGTCATTTTGTGTATCTTTGTAGTCATTTGGAGTCTTTAAGTAGCTGTTTTTTGTCTCTTTGTAGTCATTGTGTGCCTCTTTGTGGTGGTTTTGCCCCTTTTTGTAGTCTTTTTCCGTCTCTTTATGTAGTTCTTTTGTGTCTCTAGTCATTTTGAGTCTCTTTGTAGTTCCGTTGTGTCTCTTTGTAGTCATTTCGTGTCTCTTTGTGGTTGTTATGCCTCGTTTTATAGTTGTGTGTGTCTTTGTGAGTCTCTTCTTCGGTTTTCTTCTATTGTGTCCCATAAATTGTCTTGTGACCCTTTAAATTTATATCTGGATTTAGCTGCCATAGCAGTAAGCATGGAAGCAATTATGTATTTTGATTTAACACTTCAACAACCTTGTAGAAAAAGATAAACCTTGGCTGCATTACTAATGGGAAAAACTCCTCTGACATTTTTAAGGATAAGCTTCAGAGTGAGTTAAATGTATATGTGGTAGATTTCCTGTTCACGTCTTTCTTTAATGCTCTGAAATTACTTGAATACGTTTTTGGGAGTGGAAACTTTTAGAGTGGACTACGTGTGCACAGACTGGTGAATGTAAAGATTATTTACACAAATAAACTTTATTATTTTAAGTGGTCTACTTTAGAAAGTTCAATCTTGTAAAGACAGATGTTAAAAATAATAAAAGCCTGTTGGCAAAGACATGTGTGTGTCCATATTAAAACTGGTAGGCCTGATTTTATGGCTTCTACGATTTCACACATGTGATACGTGTTGGGCTCGAGGATATGAAGTATTCTCTCCATTCTGTAGTCGCACTTATTGTTAGAAAAGCAGGAAGACCATGTGTGGTAATCTCTTTAATGGAAATGCTACTTGCCTGAAGAAAAAGTCGCTGTTTTAAAGGAATACAATCTCAAGCGTCATTACTCGACTAAACACGGAGTCCAAAAACAGTAGTTGATTCCACTTGTTCCTTGACACATAGCCTAATTGAAATAATAAGCAGCATAAAAAAAGTTAGATTTAATTTGGAAAATTTCAGTTTTAATGACACATTGCTGATGTTTTTTTTTCAATATCTTAATGCCGACTTATCCATATTAGTATTTTTTTTATTTATTAAAACGATATTCTAAATTGTTCTTATGAGGCACACGTATTTTGATTAATTAACGCATAATTAATTAATTTTACATATATACTTTAATAGAAAATAATGACAGTTTTCTCAATAGCTTCCATGTAATGTGACCAATTCACTCCAAATCAATACCAACATTATTACTATATTGGTAAATTAGGACACACCTTTTTATATCGGATTTAAGGCTTCTTCAATTTATTATTAATGTTTTAATGGAACATACATTTATTTATACAATATGTATTTATACAACACAACAATTATTCTGTCTGTACTGTATATATAATATTTTAGTTATTGTGGATTTTTTAAATTTGTACTTATTTAATATTCTTTACTGTTTTATTACTTATTTGATTATTTATAATTGTTTTGATTTTGTTTTTTCACTATGTCTCTTGTTTGCACGATCCACTATGCTGCTGTAATCCTGTACATTTCCCCACTGCGGGACTAATAAAGGATTATTTTATGTTATCTTATCTTCTATTATTGTATATGAATAATATTTTATTATTATTTCATTAAACCTTTATTTAACAGGTAAATCTCATCAAGAAGTCATCGAGCCAAGACAGCAGTAATAGGATGTTTAAAAAAACATACACATAAACCTTTAAAATGTGTAAAAAAAAAAAATCATACAGTATTTCAGATTTAACGTTTAAAACACACAAAAAGGAGAATAAAAAGGAATAAGAAGGAAAAAGTCAAACTCATGTTTGAATGTCAGGGTATTTGTCACAGAGACAGTAAAAGCTCCTTCACAGAGCTTCACTGAGAGGAGGAGCAACTCTGAAAGAGGAGAGCTGCAGACTCACTTCTCCTGAAGTGAAAGTTAGTCTGAGCAGAGCTGCAGTCGAGACAAGTCTCTGTTTCTCTCGAAATAAACATTCAAGTGAATCCAGCAGTCTCTGACAAACTCTGGTGAGCACACTGTTCTACAGAGAAACTCAACATTTGGTGAAAAGTGAGTTCAAACCAGGATCCATAACAAAGAACAAAGTAGCAGATAAACTAGGCCTGCTAGAAGCTAACTAGCCTAGCTGCTACTCCCTTTGGATTGTTCAAACACAGAGAACAGCATCTGATGTAATGTGTGGATGTATTGATTGATTTTAAAGAGGTACAACATTGATGTTTCATAACTTACATAACTGTTCTATACTTTGGTAAATATCCTTGAACTGTAAAGCCTTTCCTCTAAACTTCTCTGTAGTTCCTGCTGTCTGTGTTTGTGAGGAAGTTCAGCGCAGATTTAAGTAAATGGGGACGATATTGTTGATTGTCATAGTGTTCAACCAATCAGATCTTTAGTTTGACATGTTGGGCGTATTCTTTGACTATCAGAGCCTGCGTGCCGGCCTATAATGACGTCAGCATTACATGCCGCTCAGTGTCTGTAGCTTTGCCGCGAGGTGCAGAGTGTGCTGTGATTGGTCAGTGGGCGAGCACGTGACTATCGTGAAACGAAATTTAACAGCCAGCAGAGGCTGATGGGTAGTGAATCACATCACGTGATGCAGTTCAGCCAATCAAATATGGGCATTCTGACTGAGTGAGATGCACCATGACACAGGATACAGACGAGGAAAGACATTGCAGAGCAGTACGTCCAACGTTGAAGTTGTGAAAGTAAAGTCCAATGATAATCTCTTTGGGTTGCGGCTTGTCATTAAGGAATGACTGTGGATCCCACAGCAGGACCAGTTGAGAACATTATATTTTCCTGAATTTAGGCTTTTGCGTTTTCTAAATGCTCTAGCATTATTCAAACGACTGGTTTAATACGAAGACGTACATAGTTACAGCCTCAAAATGAATAGTAGCTGTGGCGCCACAATGTGGTTATAAGGTGGTATTTCAGTTGCAGGACAGCAGTGAAGGCCTAGGTATAAAATGCACCCGCCACTGCATTACATACAAATGATCCAGTGTTTTCTTCCATGGGCAGTTTATTCACGTTCAATTGTGGGAAAGTGGTAGCTAATAGTCAGGGATCAGACACAGGCAGCCTTAAAAAACGGAGCAAAACCACAGGAAGAAAAGAAAGAATGATCCAGAAACTGCATCCAGGTGTCACGGTGACAAAATCTGTCCACAGACATTAAAATTCTGTTTTGTAAGCACCTTTCTAAAGTACTCAAACCCTCTTCTGTAATAGTTCCCTCTACAGTAGGCGTCTCCAGGACACATTTTACGATGATGACACACAGAGACCCACAATGTGAAAACAATACCCGACACACTCTGTTGCTGCTGCTAAAGATGTAATAACAGTTTTGTTTTTTCATTGTTTTTGTCCTCAGAGTGTAGATATGTCTGCTGCCAGCTGTCTGCTGACTGAAGATGAGTTTCTGTGCTCCATCTGTCTGGATGTGTTCACTGATCCAGTCGCCATACCATGTGGACACAACTTCTGTAAAACCTGCATCACTAAACACTGGAACGTTAATGTCCAGTCTCAGTGTCCAAACTGTAAAGAGGTGTTCAACTATAGACCTGAGCTGCGGGTCAATACCTTCATCTCTTTGATGGCTGCTCAGTTCAGACAGTCAGCTCAACAGAAAGCCAGCAGCAGCAGCTCAGAGCAACAAGCTGCCAAACCAGGAGAAGTTCCCTGTGACGTCTGCACTGGAACCAAACTGAAGGCCCTGAAGTCCTGCCTGGTGTGTCTGGTCTCCTACTGTGAGACTCACCTGGAGCTTCATTTGACAACGTCAGGTCTGAAAAGACATCAGCTGATCGACCCTGTGGAGAACCTGGAAGGCAGGATGTGTACGAAGCACGATAAACAGTTGGAGCTGTTCTGTAAGACCGACCAGATGTGTGTCTGCATGCTCTGCACTGTTTTAGACCACAAGAACCATGATGTTGTTCCTCTGAAAGAAGGATATGAACGAAAGAAGGCCAAGCTGGGGAAGACTGAGGCTGAAATTCAGCAGATGATCCAGAAGAGACGACTGAAGATTCAGGAGATCAAACACTCAGTGGAGCTCAGTGTGGAAGATGCAGACAGAGAGATAGCAGATGGTGTTCAGGTCTTCACCGCTCTGAAGGAGTCTGTTGAGAGAAGCCAGGCCGAGCTCATCGACACGATCAAAGAGAAGCAGAGAAAGACAGAGAAACAGGCTGAAGGCTTCATCAAAGAGCTGGAACAGGAAATCAAAGAGCTGGAGAAGAGAAGCACTGAGGTAGAGCAGCTCTCACGCTCTGAAGACCACCTCCACCTCCTCCAGAGCTTCAGGACCCTGAACACCGCTCCACCCACTAACAACTGGACAAGAGTCAGAGTCAGTCCACCTTCATATGTGGGGACTGTGAGGAGAGCTTTGAATCAGCTGGAAGAGACGCTCAGTAAACAGATGAAGAAGCTGTTCGAGGTCGAGCTGAGGACGGTCCAGCAGTCTGCAGTGGATGCGACTCTTGATCCTGATACAGCACATCCCAAACTCATCCTGTCTGATGATGGAAAACAAGTTAAAACTGGTGATGTAAAGAAGAAACTCCCAAACAATCCAGAGAGATTTGATCGTTGGGTTAATCTTTTAGCAAAGCAGAGTTTCTCTTCAGGAAGATTTTACTTCGAGGTTCAGGTTAAAGGGAAGCCTATGTGGGAGTTAGGAGTGGCCAGAGAGTCGATCAACAGGAAAGGACACATCACACTGACTCCTCAGAATGGTTACTGGACGATATGGTTGAGTAATAAGAATGAGTACATAGCTCTTGCTGGCCCTGATATCCGTCTCTCTCTGAAGTCTCAGCCTCAGAAGGTGGGGGTGTTTGTGGATTATGAGGAGGGTCTGGTCTCCTTTTATGACGTTCATGCTGCAGCTCTGATCTACTCCTTTACTGGCTGCTGCTTCACTGAGAAGCTCTACCCATTCTTTGGTCCATGTGGTAATGGTGATGGTAGAAACTCTGCTCCTCTGATCATCTCTCCTGTCAATCACACCGAGTAGAACAAACACTTAATTTTCTACAGAGACGCTTTCATTTAATGTAACAAATCTATATTATTGGTGATTTACGGTGTAAACATGATTGATTCTTCACATTCTGATCAATGGGTTTTTTCTATTTGTCTGTAAATGTTTTTCTACTCCAACACACAGACATTAAGCCACTGATTGATATTATCTAATGTAGTCTACTTAATTCCAATAACTGCATAACCTGCCTTCAAGACTGTTGAATCATCAAAAACAATGTTGTAACGATGCACCGCCGTTACTTAGACCACGGATAGTGTGTGAGATGGGGTGTGATGGAGTCAAGGAGAACACAAGTTATTGTATGTATTCATTGTTGGACTGTGGATGCTGGGAGCCATGTGCACAGCGAGGACACAGAGCTGGTCCTTTTGTTCTCCCTGCCAACAAACAGACAACTGCAGTCAGTGACAAAGTGAATAGACTTGACTGTGGTAAATGTCTATGTGGCAGAACATTATTGTGTATATATGGAACAACTTACCTCTGCCTGTTTCCTCTTCCCAGGGTGTTTGGGCAAAATACTTCCCCGGGCCCTCGAGCACCCATTTATAGTTCCGGGAAATACCAACTACAGGAAGCGGGTAGGGGGAAGTGAAGATATGTGTTGCTGTGTTTATTTAGATAAATGATGGTGTTTATAATTTACTTTATTTATAGGCATTATAATTAGATGTTAATTAATATGGATACTTGTGGTGTGGGTAAAATCATGTAAATATTTATTATACATATATGTTTAGCACTATACTTACCCATAGATGGCAGGGCTGGTCCAATTAGCTGGACCAGGTGTATATAAGGGCCTCATTTTGTTTGTGTGGGAAGAATTAGTGGAGGCAACTAGACACTGGTGTCAACATTGGTGCGATGGTCGAATTTTAAAAATAAAAGAAGTGTCTTCTGAAACCTCTCTGGACTCCTGAACTGTTCATTTGACTCCATGGCCACTCGGGCATGTTTACAAATGTACTCAGGAATAGGAAGCATTTGAACATTCCTTAACCCTCTTTTTATGTTGCGGGTCAAATTGACCCGTTTGAAAATTTAGAAAAAATATTTTCTAGTACTTTATCTGTATGAAACTTCTTCTGCTTGTCTTAATTAGTGTGATCAATGTTAAAAAAAAAAAGGTTCATATCATGTATGTGCAAACCCCCCCCAGGTTTATATTACAGAGATGATGTTCGGGTCAATTTAACCCCACAGTGAAAGTGGAGGCTGTAAGGGGTCAGAAGGTTCAAGTTTAGACCATTTCTTTCTTTGAAAATGTGAGAAAGTATTTCTGACTCCCTCCCACCATGTTTCTCTCACACAAGCGCACGCACGCACACACACCTTGTTCATTGTGCTCATCTCTTGTTAATTTTTGTAAATGTCTGTTTCTTAACACTATAAATAAACATAAGTAAAGTTTACTTTCAATACAAATCCTCATGACTCATTTGGCTTGATTTTGAGTGAGCGGGTCAATATGACCCTGAACAGCAGAGGTGTCTCTTCTCCATTTATATACAGTGGGTACGGAAAGTATTCAGACCCCTTTCAATTTTTCACTCTTTGTTTCATTGCAGCCATTTGCTAAAATCAAAAAAGTTCATTTTATTTCTCATTAATGTACACTCAGCACCCCATCTTGACAGAAAAAAACAGAAATGTAGAAATTTTTGCAAATTTATTAAAAAAGAAAAACTGAAATATCACATGGTCATAAGTATTCAGACCCTTTGCTGTGACACTCATATTTAACTCACATGCTGGGGGGGGGGCACACAGTTCATATCAGGCAGAACCAGAAACAAACGGCTTCGTCTCCTCCATCAAACTCACATTTCTGTAGCGAACCAGTTTCCTCTTGTAGCCGTTTCCTGCTATGACGTCGGACACGTACAGGATGCAGCTCTTGTTGGGCAGCTGGAAATCTGCCACAGCGAGCTCCTGCTCAAAGAGGATCCTCACACCGCCACCTGCAGCACAAGCAAACGCCTGTTAGTGACTTCAACTGATTTACTGTGAGACTGAGAGTTACTAATCTTACTGCAGAGGAGAAGAGGACGTTCTTCAATCTGCAGAGACGAGCTGCATTCTGCATTTGACAGACTAATAAACCTTTCTTTAATAACATCACGTACTAGAGGCCACATAAAGCACTCATTAAATAATGTGAAGCAGAAATATAGGTGCTTAGTGATGTGACCTTTCATGTCGAGGCTTCGAAGCCTGTGTTAATCCAGGACGATTTTTGTGAAGCGCGTATCGAGGCTTGTGTCGATGACGTATGACATTAGCGACATGCTAGTTGCCTTTTGAGTGTTCTGTCGCCATCTTGTGGTGACGCTGTGAACTCCACCCGGACGCACCACGGAATTGGAGGCGGATATGAGTCTGACCTGTTTACGGTAGTAGATGCGCAAATGAAGATGCCAGATGCACAGTCGCATCCGTTATGTCTCCTGTTTTTTGCGTTGTTTTTCTGTCTCGGCACAGCGGCAGAGGTCTCCGTGTGGAACGTGGAGATCAACTCGGTCAGTATTAACGTTACACCTCCAACATGGGGCTTTTTTAATTTACGGTTATTACACAATCTTCAATAGCAGCTGTTAGCCGAGGAAGCTAACTAGCTCCTAGCATGTATTTCGCTGTATAATCCACCTTTTAGTCACTCTATTCTTCTTTGACAGCTCTGGTTTTGCTTTTCTGACAATATAAACTTCTCATTCTGAATGAGCTGCAGGTAATCTGTCTCAACGTTGTGTGCATGCGTGTTACAAAGGAAAAGGGCATCTACAAAACGACATGTTATTAAAAGAAAGGAAGGCCATTCTGTCAGAAAAACATGGTTAAGATAAACTCAAACTATAGTCTAGTCTTGACAGAAAGGGAAACATTTATCAGAACAAGCTACAAGTACATTTACTCAAGTACTGTACTTAAGAGTAGTTGCACGAGTACATCCACTTTGTGCTCCTTTGTACTTTTACTCTACTAGATTCCAGAGGTAGGTGTTGTACTTTTACTCCACTAGATTCCA